CTAGCGATAAGGAAAATGAAAAGGTGCCGAAAAAGCAAACAAAAATGAAAACGAATTGCGTTCAGACGACGTGTGAGTTGAAAATTCATGACGTTTCAGGTAAGAAAAATATTGTTTTTGCATACAATTTGTTACTTTTTGTGGCGTCTTCCTTTAGTTTTTGTTGTTGTTGGCCCTGATTTTGTAGTGTTTTGTTATTTGCGCCTGACAAGTGCTGAGTGAAATACTAAATTTGTTTTCCTCTTCAATTACGTCAACGAGATCTCGTCAACAATCGGTTCGGCATCCCAGTCAACAGTAGCGTGTACGAATATAATTGTTACTCACAACAACAAGTGTTTATCTAATTACTCGCGATAGTGCTCCCAAATGCACTTTTCAGCTACTCCCTTCCCCTCCACATCGTCTGGTTGCTAAGCGTATACAAGTAGAGGCAGGCATTTTATTTAGCCGTGCTTGCCATTCAATACAATAGCAATGAAAATCTTTCAATGGTCGCGAGGTGAGCAAATACGAGTGACATGATTGAGCACAATCAGCTAAAATCAATCTGAGCTATTCGCCAATGAAATGTTAGCAATATACTATAGCATATACAATCATGCTCGCTTTCAGTTTCTTCCGGCAGCACAAGCGTCACTATTTTGTTTGTTATTGCTTGGTTCAATGAATCTAAAGATGTTAGGATTTGAATACGATAATGAAAAGATGTGCTGTAAGGTAGTGTATGTTGCTCTTCTCTAGAAGAACATTTCTTCTTCTTTAACATAAATCAAATTTGTACAATACGTATTATTCTAATTTATTATAAACTTTAACAAAATTTGAACAGAGAACTGTAAATTCGTGCGTGACTTTCTCCCGAAAGTGAATTTATTAAAAACTAGAGGTTGCATTCATTGAAATTAGTTTATGCTTAGCACTAACTAATACATTAAAGAACTATTATTAGTAGGCCTATGTTAACCGGAATGTTTTTTAGTATCTTTGGAATTATTTAAATTATATAAAAATGAATTGTTATCAGACATGCTGTAACTTTCGCAAGGTTTTACGTTTTAAAGTGGTACCAAATAAACAAACTTATAATTTCATTTCAAGATTCAATCATTCAAATTTTATAAAATAAACAACATTTTCATTTCCTTCACTTGACGCCGATTTGGAAATAGCAACATCATCAAAACTACAAGTCATAAGAATGCTACAAATGTTGACGATCGCTTATTTTATTCACATACATATATCAAGCATTGTTTACAGCTTTGGGTCCTATGTGGGATTTTGTAACAAAACTTGCTTGCAAGTGAAACCCAAAATTGCAGAGCCGTTGTATTTCAAATTTAGTGAAGTAATGGTAAATAATATTGTATGTAATTTAATTGTACATACGAAAGCTTCCTTGTTGACAAATAATATGTCCTATTTACGATGCGCGCCTTTTAATACTGATTTGCATCAAAATAGTTCTAACAACAACAACAATACATATAGTATTGAGAATATACTCGCGTAAATGAACTGCAAACCAACAAAAATTATGGGTGCATAAGCGATACAAATTTTGTTGCGCATCGTTTGCTTCAATTGCGTTTTAAATTGAATATAGCTTCGTAATACAGAAAGTTGATTGGGACTGTTCCAATGTTCAAAGGTAAGTATATAAATAGTGAATTGTATGTGGATTGATTTGGACTTACAATGATCATCCAACTATCAGCTTAAGTGTGTAGTATTTATATGAATCTTTTTGTCCAAATCATCATCGAAGCACAATTAAATCAATTGCCAATTGAACTACACAGTTGCAATTCTTTAGAATGCATTTCGCATTTTTCAGGGGAAAATGTTTGTATACAATCCACCAATTCTAAATTCAATTTGCATTTAGAAACTTACAAAATTAGTTCATTTGTTTTAAATGAGTTCTCTTTGGAGTCAAACATATTGGAGAAGAAGTTTCCTTCGGGAAACTGTGGGGTTGGTGAGAGTATTCAAATGATTGTAGTATTAAGTGGCATAAGTGGAAACAACATTTCTGAAAGCAAAAGGTTAACATATAATATAATTGATAAATGCCAGACATTTTATTAAATACAAATTTAAATAACGACACGTACAAAAGTGTGACTAATATCAGACGACAGTACAACAATAACAACAATAATGACGACGCCATTTAAATGACGTTGCTAATAAGAGCGCTATACTTGTAGTTGGAGCGTTCAGATTTTGGCACAAGAAATACGAAATATGTTATGTAGATTTTGTATTTGCCTAAGCAAAAAATGTAATACAGAATTAATGTATGGGAAAATTCTGTTAATTCATACAAATGGCAAGCCAAAGGAATTTGCAGATTCTTTCTTTTTATTTGGCAGTCAATTAAATTTGATTTAAGTGGCCCATGTGTTCAAAAAACTGAAATTTGCCACTCGTTTATTAGTTTGTATACACTCGAATGCGTGTTTATGCATTTGCATATATGAATCATAAAATATGTTTCATTTAAAATTCAATTCAATTATATTATCTGCCCGCCTGCGGTAGTGGCCTTTGCCTTTGTGGGAGGCACCTTCGCCTTTCTAAAGTTCAAGGCTAGACGCCTGACGGCATTATTTCTGTGCTGTTCTTCAATTTCTTGACCATGTCATACCAAGAACTAGTTGTTTGGAAATAGCATGCATGAAAAGCATGCTTAGAGCTTCAGGGTGTTTACGAGTCATAAAAAAATATACACATATTTTAAAGCAGAACTGGATACTTTTTTACATTTAACTTGTGATATTTGACTCGTTTGCTCATAGCTTATGAAAATATAATTTACTTATCTAATAAAATAATTCAATAATTAATGGTTCTCTAAAAAATCCATATGTCCTTTTTTGTCTTATCCATTCAAGCAAAGGTAGAGAGAATTCAAAAATTCGACCTGCAAATATTTGACAATACCGGTCGAAATTTTTCGGAAAAGTAATAATTAACAATTCTTGACGACTATCGTTAAAAAAAAGGCTGGTGTATACCGATTTGATTAGACATTTTTCAGTCGAGAAACTATTGCGATTGGTGGAGTTTTTAAGGTAAGATAAGCAGGGGACGAGTTAGCAATAAATTCTAGTTTCTATATACATACAAGTATGTAAATACTACACATATGCATATAAAATTAACGTCTTTACAGATACGAGTGTTCTTGCTGGGGCCTTTAAAAAAATGTGTATGTGAAACATTTTGATTAAAAATCAATAGTTTTAGCTTTGATTGCTCAAATTGTCACCCAAAATATTTATTATATGCCAGAGCTACTCGTATATGAAAATTAACCGCAGTTAACTTTATTTGACATTTTTCCGAAATCGAATCAAAGGAATGCGCAATAAAAGTCACGCAAAATCCAGTCGCAACAGCGAAACGTGTACGATATCGATCTTAGCTCACTCAAAGCCAAATAAATAATTTACTTCGCTTTAATTACCTAAATAGAATCAGCAACAACGATTTTGTTGTTGTGGAAAAATGTGCGCTGGTTTTTCCACATAAATTAGAGCCACATGCCAAATTCTATTGCCCGCGCACGTAACTCACACTCTAAGTAGGTATGTATGTATGAATGTATGTATAATATGTACTTAGGTAAATAAGTAGTTGTTGTTCTTTATGATATCATATGATTTAGTTATTTTCTAGAAATTAACGGCTTTTAATTGATAGGCGAAGCACGCGTGTCTTATCGCTATGTCTTTAGCTACGCCTAATTGGTGTTAAGAGTGTTTGGTAGTATGAATTGGCGAAAGCCATCGAAAATAATAAAAAATTAAAAAAAATAATGATAATAATAATAGAAACAACAAAATCAATTAGCGGAATTTTATGTAGTTTGGAACGAGCTGAAAATTATAGTAAAGTCCTTTGTATGTACATATGTATATAATTTTAATGAGCTTGGATTACTAAACTATTCTATTTGAAAGGCAGAAAATGTTCAATATTTCAACTGTGGAACTTTGGGTTTTAGAAAAAATAATTATAACCTTAGAGTTGAGAATTGATATATGTAAGTACATAGCTACAATATTCAGGGAACGACCAGCTGGTTTGATGAATTTGCGGGACCTAAATTATTCAATTATAACTGTGAAAATGCGCAGAATTCAAAGTGCGTGTTCATTTTCATGCTTTCCCATTATTACTCGGCCAATAATTGGACCACATTAGCTGGGTTCGTGTGCTCATCGTTACGCATATTTGTTGCGAATCTAAAGTTGCTAATTTGAAAGATTTAATGCTTTGGTGGAGAGACTAATCGGCTAAAAATGCGACGAATACCATAAGGGTAAACCAGATATGAAAGAACATGACCTCATAATAACCGTGGCACCCTTAAACGCTGTTGACCACGTGAGTGGGGAGATCGATTGTCAGCCAAGACCTTAAAAAATTACATTATGTTGCCTGCTCAATTTTTCGTTTCCGGTATTCAGTTTTTTCCTGTGTCCGACTGGGTATACGTAACTGAGGCTTAAAAGACTGTGTGAAACAAAACACATATGTTCATATGTATACAAAGAAAATCAGCTTAAAGACAAAACTGTTTTCTTGCCTATTTTAATTTGTATGGTATAGTATATTTGAGTCCCATTAACAGATTTGAAAATCGTTCTTTTACCTCAATTCGTGCAATATGCGAATATAAATATTAGACGCCCGCAAAGGTACAAGGGAAGAGCGCAAATCAGATGCCACGAATATATTGCATCCTTAATGAAATACGGAGGAAAGTAGTTAGGCATTCCACATCACTTTTTGATTCACGTCAATAACTGTTGAGCTACAAAAGTTCATTGGCGTCCATTTCCTGTGAAAAGGTGCATTTAAATTGTTGCGCAGCAATAATGCAAATAAATTTATACAATTTTACAATAAAACAGTGTAATTTTTATTAAAGCCCAACAACGGAAATTAATTACATACATATTTGAATATATCTACATGTCCATGTAAATACAGTAGAACCACATTGAAAATTTATAACAATAAAAATCAAATTGTTGCATTAAAATTGCTACATTACTTTCAAGCTGATAACCGATTTAACGCTATTGAAATTTTATCGCTTTGAGGTTGATCAAAAGTTCAATAAAAACGATTTGATTTTGGCCCATTAAGTCGACACAAAATTCTTTACAGCAAATAATTTGTGGATAACATTAGTTTGTTTTGCTCCCGTTTGCGCTAACTATTTAATAATAAATGTAATTACTTAACAATACACCTGCATTGCATAATTAAATTTACACACAGATTTATTCAAAGCGTTGCTGCTACTTCTGTTCCGATGCCTAAACAATAACTCGTGGATTCCTAAATATACATACGAAAATATAGTACATTTCCTTTCACACAAATTCGAGTAGTACTTAAAATTACGATGAAACTACAGACATACGTTTGTTAAAATTCTAAGATTGCAATTATGTATAGATAGTACAAAAATATATGTATATAGTATCTATATGAATTTATATGCATAGGTCTGTGTGCTTGTGTGTAATTTACATGCCAATCAGACACTCTGCAGAGCCGATAGTGGCGAAATCTGCTGGCTACGCTTGCGTCACAAAGTAAACCTCGCCAGCAGAGCCCACGACCACAGCTGTAGTGTCTCCACTGCCTGCAGTTGTTAGCGTATTGGGTGCTGATGCTATCAGATTCGACATATCTGTGCCGTTGCTCACAATGCTGACGGCACCGCTGAAACCTGCATTGGCCGCATCAGCGCCATGATCCGTAGTTTCCACGTGCTGTTGTAAACTATCGATGTTGTCGTACAGAGTGGAGCACTCGCCACACTTGTACAGTGGATCAATGCAATCTTGGTGCTTACGTTCCACATGGCTGCGTAAATTCACTGCATTGGAGAAATTTTTGCGGCAATTCGCTACACCACAGCAATAGGCACGCTGCTGATGCGTTTGCCTGTGACGATAGAGAATGGCTTTTGATTTGAAGGTACGATTGCAAATATTGCAGACGGGCGTGTTTGATTCAGCATCATGGGTCTTCATGTGCATGCGTAGCATGCCCGGACCCTTGAAGCTCTTTAAACAGATCTCGCACTGCGGCTGCTTTTTGCAATTGGCGCGTATCCAATTCGTATGTAAATGCATATGGTTCTGGAGGCCCTTAAACTGCCGAAACTCCGTGCTGCACAGATGGCAAAGGTAGCGGCCGGAGCCGAGTGGCGACGTGTGCTGGCGTATGAACTCGCTGACAAGATTGGCATCTATCTCATAATTGTCGTCGGCGCCAGCGGCTGCAATAACTGAGGCGGTCTGCACCAGTTGACGGGAATTGGCAGCGGCCAGTTTGTTGCTAATGGGACTGGGAGTACTTTGGTGATGATTACACTCTACCATTGTTGGTTGCTGATGCTGTTGGTTACTACGGCGTGCTCTTTTCGCCGCACTTGGCGTGGGACTTGGCGTACTTACATTGAGAGTGGGCGCAAGTGTTTCGTTAGTTGATTGGCTGAATTCAACAACAGCGTTTTCCAACGAGATGCCGTGCAGTTCGGCGACACTTTCATGCTGCAGTTGCTGCTGTTGCATTTCAGCATCAGTATCGATGAATGCCTGCTCAATGTCCGCAGTAGCCTCACCGTCTGGTGGTTCCATTATAGCGTACTGAAGTTCATCCTCCACATCCCCGCCTATGCCGTGTTCCTGCTCATCTGTTATGTACTCGCAGTCGTCCTCAGGTTGGCCCATATCATCATTTCCACCTGGCTGATCTAGCACATGAATGACACTATCTTCGGGATCACCGTCATCCAACATGTCATCATCGTCCAGCTGAATTTCCTCTATTATGAAATCGTCATCGTCATCATTCTTGACCGGCATCTGCTCAGACATATCTTCAACTTGCTCTTGCTGTTGATCTAAATCCTCAAAATATTCGTTGTCTTGCGTATCGCTTTGTGTCAAGTCCTCATCTATCAGAACCTGATGATGTGCATCTTTTAGAAAGTCCTGCTGCTGATCATCATCTAAAACGATTGTTTCAAAAGTATGTCCCTTGCTGTCCAGCTGTTCGTACACTTCATCCAGTTCCTCCTCGTCCACTTCGCCATCATCCAGCAGCTGAACATCAGCGTCAGCCAGCGAGTTGGAATTGGTCGTGCACATGTCCGTGCTAGTCGTTGTGGTCGTTGATAAAGTTGTAACGGCGGGTGCGAGACTGCGCTGGGGAAGAAGCTGCACCAATTGCAACGTCTGTGTACCATTCGGCTGTTGCACAATCTGCAGCGTCTGTCCGTTGGGCGTTTGCAATAGTTGCGGCATGAACTGCGCCTGTGGCGATGCTGTCAGTGTGGTTGTGGTCGGTGCTCCGTTCGGAGCAGTATGTGGCGCAGTGCTTATTATTTGAGCGAGTTGCGGGGCTACAAGTTGCGCTGTCGTAATTAGCTGACCATTGGGCAAGAGTATTTGTTGGGGCAGGGCTGTGGCCGTTGTCGTGGGCATCAGTTGTTGCGGCGCTTGCTGCAATGTAGGCAATTGTGCAAGTTGCTGCAATTGCTGTTGGTGCTGATGTTGTGTTTGCAAAGGAACATGTGTTGCCTGTAATGGAGGAGGCGCAGGTTCGGGAAGAAGTTGCAGCTGCTGCGAAGTCTGCTGCTTTTTGGCTTGACGTACACCCTTACGAGGCAAAGGTTTAATCTTCGTTTTGTGTTGCAGTTGTTGTTGCTGCTGTGGTTCCTGTTGCATTAGCATTATTGGCTGTTGCAATTGCTGTTGTTCTAGAAGTTGCTGGTGCTCCTGCTGTTGTTGTTGTTGCTGCTGTTCTTCGATCTGCTGTTGCTTGAGTTGCTTCTGAAAAAGTTTCTGTTGTTTCCGTTCCTGCTGCTTTTGCGCCTGTGACTGGTCTAGACGGACTGTCAAGCTTTTGATATACTCGCGCAGTTCCTTGTCGCTGCGCTCCACCAGCGATTTGAAAGCGTGATTACGAGACACCGCGTGCACACACTGCACGCAAATCTTGTCCGGCCAACCCTCTGTGGGCTCCACACGCACACTGGTGCAGTCCATAAGCATTTCGGGGACTTTTTCGCTAAACAGCGGTCGCATTTCCTTACGCTCCGAAATGCAAACACGGCAAATCTTATCAAGCTCGAGTACTTTCTTACGATCCATCATTGCACACTCCGTATACTGTGTAACTTAGTCAGCAGGCTTTTGCTGCAAGAATTTTTGACATTAATAAGGATCTTCATACTGATTTTTCACGCAAAACCTTTCAAAATTACAAAAGGCACGAGAATGTAACTGATGTAAATCAAAACATTTCAAACGCTGCTGTTTGTTTAACGACTACTGCTTATTGCGATAGTCTGGCAACTCGCTCCATCAAGCGAGATAGCTACAGTGTGCACACGTGAACAACTAGTATACACAATTTGCTATCATAGTATTGGTTTAAGCGAAATATTTCAACGAAATATTAACCACTTTTGCAATTCAATTTAAGCAAATAAAATACAACTATTTATTATTCTCTCAAAATATAGTTAGCGCAGCCTCTTTTCCTCGTACCATTCATACTTTTTATAAAGATTTTGGTCCATATTGCGGCACATATTGCACATTTTACCTCCGCAATATTTATGTAATTTTCCTGGCTCTTTTTGCTTTAAGCGTACAAATATTTTCAAATATGGCCGCGTCACACAATTTGCTGTCTAAAAATCACATTTTTAGCACTAATCGCGACTTTGTTTTGAATCGTATCAAAACCAAAACAAATCCAGTACTAGTTGGTTATTCTTGCAAGTAAATGAAATAACTAGATTTCGCGAGGAAAATTAATAAAAATTCAATGAATGAATTTCTCTGCTGCAGCTGCTGTTTCGGCTCGCCGTGGCACCGCGCGACCTGCTTTTGTCTTCTTCTGTCGAGGGCAAAACAGAATACGAATGCGACAGTCGGAGCGCAGCTGCTGTCGCTTCGTCTACGCCACACATACTCGCTCACCTAGTGCTCTCTTTTTTTGTTTCACGCGCTGTTGGTGTGAGTGAGATATGCATATACGTGAGACATGCTATGAACTGCCAACTGGCGTATATCAAAAAGTACTAAATAAATTGGCTCAAAAACATTACGAATTATAAAAAGGATATCCTAAACGGTTTCTTTGTAAGGAATACAAACAGTTATTAGCATAGCTACTTTGCAGAAAGCTTAAGTTACAACAATAATCCCCAAGTCCCAGGGTTAATTCGACATTACCTTTATGCAATTCGATGAAAGAATAGCAGTGCCGCGACTGCACCAACACACATACACATGCAAATAAATGTGACACTTGCTTTTTACACTTGGCCGACTTTATGTCGTTATTGGTACTCTGCTTTGGATTCTCACTTTCCTTTTTAGAAAAAAAAAGAATTTAAATATCTCACGGCAAATTTTGCATTAATACACACTCCCACACGATCTTTTGCGGCGCGCATACATTCCAACCATTCACATCCAACCACGTAACAGCGCCCCGGTGGCCTAAGCGATTTCTACTGTCGCGGGGGGCTCGCGACGCAAGTAGGAAAGAAAATAAAGGACAGTCATTTCTGTTTCTGCTGGCGCTGTCAACTTGTTTAATTGAAATTCGCACAAATGGCTCTGGAATAGTAAGAACCGTTAACATTCAACGTTATTTTGAGGGCTCTTGTTGGCCAGCTCGTACTTTTGCCTATTTGTGTCCCTTTTGCTGTAACTACGCACCACACCGTAAAGGGCAAACACTACGACAGCGGCTAACACTAGGCAACTGATCACAAACCATGGATAAAAACTCGGATATGGATTTCCACTGCTCTGGTTATCCCACTCTTCATCGTCATCCTCCCATTCGGTGCTATTTGTGCCATTAAGAGTCAGTCGAGCCGATGTTGAAGGCTCTTTGAATAGCGATGCCTTAGCCACATTTCCTGATTCGGGAGCCTCAAAGACTGGTTCTGTGCTATCTATGCGCACAAATGTTACCTGTCCGCTTTTTAATTTCTGCTTTATGTGGCTTATGCCATGTCCATAGTACTCATAGATATCCGCGCTGAACTCTCGCTGCTGATCTGTCCACTGGCCAATTACTTGCACCTGAACCTCACTTTCTCCATCCATGGTGCGTCCATAGAAAGCCTTCTCCTGCACATTCATTCCCCCTACACCATCGGAATTCAATTCCACCACTGAGCCGCGATGCTCAAATAGCAGCGGCAAATTCGACAAGTTCTCGCTTAAAATAGAGCTCGTATTCACTCTCAACTTCTCGACGAATTCATAGTTAATGCTGGAGTAGATTGGTTTTCGTTCAACATTGTGATTCTTTAGTACTCCATTACCCAGTCGCGTCTTATAGCTGTTGGTGACATTACGCCAGGGCATATAGTTAATATTGCGTAGTTGGTACATCAGAGGTTGAATCTCAACCAGCGCATTTATGTTGTCCTCCAGTCCGTACTACAATGAAAGAATTAGTATTAACTTGTTCCTTTTATGAAAGCACATAGTAACAAAAAACTTACAAAATTGTCCTCGAAAATCATCACAATGCAGGTGAATAAATTGTCGGAGATATTGTTTACAAGATCGGTGTGTCGAAAATGACAAAGTTCCGTCCTTTCCCGCTCCACATTTGTTGCTTTCGCTATATAGCTGAGACGCTGAGCGAAATTCTGTTAGCTGTTCTGTATTTCTTAACTTTTCTTGTCAACTCACCTCTTTTGGATTTAGCTCGGCAGCATAATTCTCCAAGATTGTCTTGTAGGGTATCCAAGCGAGCACAGAAGTTGCATTATTTCTGCATATATCATGATAGGTGCCACGCCCACTCAACTCCCCATTGTGTAGCTTGAAGAAATGGTAGTTGTCCCGAAGAGTGCCGCTATGATCCTTGCACATGGTATCAATAAAACTATCCTGCCATTGTAAATACATACATACATATGTATATAATTTGTAGTTCATTGATAAAAATATACTACTTAGTATATACTACTTATCTTTCGCATTCAAATTATCTGGCATGGGAACTAGCCTATCTATGTCATTATTATATTAGGAATATCAATGAAGCACTTCATTTAAAATAAGTAGTTCCAATTAATTTTAGCACAGCTTAAAAACGATATAGTTGAAATCTCCATTAACTGTTAACATGGAACATTGAATTTGACATTTAAGGATTATGTGCTTGGAAACCCGATTTCATTGACTTCCCAAATCGACAGAGAAGGCGACTGCTACGCCATATACGGTTAAAGAATTTAATTTAATATCATGACTACGTTTTTATGTTCAAAGTCAATGTATAATTGAATATACATACATAAATACATTTGCCAACCAGCTAAGACTCACTCACCTTCTCCTTCGTTGTCAAAAGTCTAGCCGTTATGGGACAGACTTCTTCTTGGGACTGTGGTTTTATAAGAGGCTTTTCTATCTCACTCAACAGCAAGGGCTGAGTAACAATGCAAAAATTTGGATTCTCCACATATGCATTTGAACGGAAACAAAGCAGCCCTATAACTAGGACCGCGATAAGCGCATTTGGAGACAAAAGCACTCTCATAATTGACTGCAAGAATTTGCTATCAGCCGTCGCTGTAACGTACGCGTCCGTTGTCAAATCGAAACTAAAATTCGCCAACGAATTTGGTCTTTAGAAACAAACGTATTCAACTTGACCGCAAAACACGATATATGTATCTACATACGTACGTATCTACAAGTGTGTAGCGAAAGCACCATATTTATCTATGCTCAAGGATTAACCTAAGAAATCGGTGTGGAGACACACACACCTATACAAATAGACACCGCGTCAGTAACTGAAGCCAAAAGTTAAACAAATTGATGAGCATATTGCTCGGCGTGCGAGTTATTTCCACAACCGAACTCGCGATAAGATAAAAAACGTAAAAACTACGTAAACGGTCGATCGGATTACTGTCAATAAACTTTTTAGACCCCTACAATTAGACACCTAACGTCCGAATGTGTTTGATTTAGAGCCTTTGTCCAGCCTGTTTTCCAATTATTCTATGACTGTTGACGATGCTCTCCAGACAAATAGATAATTTTTTATTTTACTGATTTGAAATATCAACAAGTTTTCACTTTTTTAAACAGATGTCATAAAAATCAATTTATTCCTGAGGAAAATAAACTGATAGTTATGTTATGTTCCTAGACTTTACGACAATTATTTGCATTGCAACATTTAAATTTTAGACCGTTGATGGTCCTTATTATTTTATTATGCTTTGTACATTTTGAATTTACGAGCTTTTATAAAACATTATATCGCTTTAATAGCAGCAACAGTTTAAAGCAACGGCTTAAAAATATTATTTTACATACATAAATATTTATCGAAAAATTTGTAAATTGGACAATTTTAGAATCCATGTATTTTTAGCGCTTTATGTTTCGACGGTAACCTTAACTCTTGGGGACGACATGTGGACAGAATAACGAGACGCACATGGGATAAATGGGATAACTTGGAGCAGACGAATGGTGGAGGTACTTTAACTTAAAATCCATCTGAAGGTGGAGAAAATTCAAGTCTTACACGAACAGAATCAAGACTGACTGAATGCTCATTACCATCGCTCGCTTCAAATTCTATTGTGATAGATGAATCTTCGTCTTCGTTCTCCTCGTCATCATCGTCATCCAAATCATCATCGTCGTCGTCATCATCATCACTGTCATCATCATTGTCATCATCATCGTTATCATCGCCATCATTTGTAACAAAGCGGCGACTACGCAAGGGGAAGCCTAAGAAATTCGGGCCTAGGGCAAATGCTGTAGAAGTATTTGATGGTAAAATTGATTTTCCTTTAGCAAATATGTAGTCTTTTTACCATTTTCAGATCCCGTATCAGAACCCTCTTCATCGGATTCGGGCACCTCCTCATCATCTTCCTGCAAGGATAGACATAATATTAAATTCAAAATCTTCCAACTGGCTATAGTTGACCTGTCTCAGATCGAAGACTGCCGCACCCAGGCCTGCGCGTAATGTACGAGCCCGCCTCCGCACACCAACAATTGAGTTGTTGGCTGCAAGCGGGCGAGCCAGATTGGGCACACGACGAGGACCGGCACGGTTACCGGTGCCGTTATTGAGATCATCGCCAACCACAATTTCCTCAGCCCCAGCAGCACGGTCGTTTGGAAGTTCGACTCTGATCAAAATGCCGCGTTCGGGGATATTGTGGCTAATACGTTCAGCGGTCGCGGCTATAATGCGATCTCTAGCCCGACTATTATCTGAGTTTGGTTCTTGCGCCTGGGGCGCACCGCTTCGATCGATAGCTTCATCCGCAGCACGCACCTCTTCCGAGCGCTCGCTTTTCTTGATGCCCACTGCGTAGATCTTCACGTAGGTCTCCTGTTTTGAATCGTACACGCTGTGATCCTCCACCACCGCAATAAGACTTCCATTTCCGCTAACGCTCAGATCGTTGATAGTGCGCTTCACATCGATTGTCGCAATGCTCGAGTAGTCATATGCATCTAGCACGTTGAAGCTGGACCTAGTATCGTAGGCTGTTGTGTCCGTGTCTTGATCCTGATCGGAGCCTAAAGTAGCGCCATAGATAACATTCATGGGCGAAAACGTGACCTTGCGCTGATCCAATACTGGCACCGTTTGCAACAAGTGAAAAGTACGCAGATCCCAGACTTCGGTATTGGCAATGATCTAGAAAAAACACAACAAAAAGTTTAAGAATTCGTAGGAAAAGGCCCGGTAAGTTTTAGAGTGTACCTCGAGACAATTGGGATGAAAAACACCAGATATATTCTGATTGAATTTGTCAAACTTGTGTATCTCCTTGCAGGAGCGGACGTCCCAGAGCACGCCATCTGTAAGACATTGATAGTAGAAATAAGTAGTGTTACGGAATAAAGGCATGATTCACTATAGGAACTGGAAGATCTTTCTTTTGATAAAAAAGAATATATATGTAAAGAATTTTGTATGCAAATTCTTTACATTAACAACAGTAGTATCCTATTTTTAAATCTTACCTGATAGCAAGAGCTCATCGGTGCGACAGAGCGTGGCACGATTTTGTGTATATAGATTCGGTATGGTAGGCGTAAATGTCGAGACTTTAGAGCCCGTGTTAATATCATAAAGTACAGCGCACTGCCAAAATAAAATAATTGTGAAATCTTAACATCAAGCACCGAATGTAATCCTCTCATTTTACTCACCTCGTTCAGGGTTCCCAACAATCGATCCTGCGATGCCTGGCTGAATTCGCAATGTGTAACTTCGGCCAGCCTTAGTTTGGACTGAAATTCGTTGTTCCGAATGGACCATAAAATGGTTTGGGGTGAACGCCAAAGGGTAGTAGTTAGTGCCAGCTCTCCACTGCAGTTTGCCTTTACGGAATTCACGCTATATGTGTGACAAATTGAAGAAAATTGCTCAACCCCATCATTGATGTTGAAAACTTTGGCTTCGCCCTGATGTGTGCCAACGATCACAAACTTTGAATTCGGTACAATATCACAACAGGTGAACCCCATATCTTCGAAATCCGCCGATCGAATTGTGCGCCAGGGTGCAAAGTGTGTATGCACATGTCGACGATCGTAGCTCGCTGTGGGAAAGCCTGCCTGAGTGCGAAAATGACGTGACGCTAGATTATAGTTGAAGCTATGCAAGCGACTGGGTCTCGGATCCGGGCACTTGTGCGGCTCGTACAGGTCGAACTGTGGGCATGTGGTGACAGGATTTTTACATAATGAGTGCTGGTTGGTCAAGTACTCTGTCACAATTGTATTGAGCGTAATGCGCTTTGGATTTTGCAGAGCAGATGAATTTCCTAAGTCATCTGGCATGCTGCTTCCAGGCTCAGTAAAGTTCAGACCCGAAGTGGAGAAAATTTGTTTCTGCATTGACCGCTGACTGGGAAAACCATGAAGTAAGGAAGCGGAGGAGCTGTTGCTTCCGCTTGAACGATCAGTTTTGCGTATCTTAATGGGTGTTTGCGCATTTAGATGGCTTATGCTAGAAGTTGCAACCGCTTGACAATGCGGTGATGAGCTCTCATCGACCAGGCTGCTATTCAGATTTGTGTCCATCGCACTATTATTAATGGCCGCATTTACATCCTGCATCCGACTGCGCAGTCGATTGCGCGATATAGATGATCCGATCGGCAAGGCCTTGTAATCGAATGGCGAATGATGGAAATTTCGTATTGTAGTCGTCTGCAGGGGCAGTCCCACCTCACGTTGTAGCATTTGCGCCGTCTGCCCCAGACCCTTGCTCTCCAAATGCTCGAGGATTAGTTGATACAGCTGTTGCTCATTGTACTGAATGCGTGTCTGTGCTATTACATTGGCCTTGTGCATGTTGGATAGTGAGGGATCAAGTGGATTATTGAGTGGTTTTGTTTTGCCTGAAATTCGTTCAAGTAGCTCAAGCGCATATTTTTGAAAGATTACATGCTCGGCACGCTTCTCTTGCAATATGGGATCACGCATGAGAGTCTGAAGCTGACCGCTAGCAAAGAGTGGTAGCTTGCTCACAATTTGACGCACACGATCTGATCGTGCAAGCCCGGCTAAAGCTCGACAGGCCATGCCCCGTATGCAATCTGCGTCGGTTATGGGAACCTTAGTCTGCATTAGTGAAAGTAGCACCACAATGCCATTGTTGGAACATACTGATTCCCAAACCTTCTCGACCAGCTCCTCCGAGTATTTGTGATTGGTCTTATTTTTGCGAGATGAATTGCCAAATTTAATTAAAGTGTTTGGGTCCTTCTGCAAATGAAACGGATAAATGTATGTAAGTAGAGCAACATGATACAATGACTAAACTGTAGAGACTACTCTACAGCAGAAATGCCACTTATATAAAAATGTTTGTAGAGGTACTAACGCGAATTATGGGCGAACACACGCAGTGACAGAGAACAGCAAGTGCAGATTTTTGCACTTCTGCATCTGCGGTGATTTCACCGGCGGCTGCACCCAACACCGAACAAAATCCTGAGGTAGTAGTCTTGTCGAGCATCTGGAGGCGCTCACAAAGAGCCAAATATACGCGCGGTATGACGCAACACACGGATAACACATCGAGGGCGGAACGCACAGTTTCCGAACGGCCGGTATTTACCCAATCATAAGAAAAGGCAATGATACGCAATAGCATGGTAATACCACCAAGTTTCATTAGCTGATCCACTGGCTCCCAACGTGCACGCACTGATGTGTGTTCTTGTAGAGTGCGTATCTGTTCGTGAATCTGATCGAAAGTGACCTTGGCTGCCACCATCGGTTTTTGGTTGAAGTAGTTGGACGAAGAAGAAGCATAGTGCTGGCGCAGAAAGTTGGTGTATTTATAGAAAAAGTGTGACTCCATGTAGCGCTTCAGGGCCAAACAAACATGGCGCACCATTTGGCGTGACGCACATTCCATGTCATCATTAATATCCAAATCGATGTCATTATCGTTATGACTGGGATCGAGAATCTTCAGTACAGATATCTGGAAGTGGATTAAATAACAAACTGAATTATCACATTTTAAGGCTTAGAATTGGAAAACTTACGACGTTGTACAACTTGCGTAGACCATCTTGTGAGTCGAACTCATCAAGTATGACCTTAAACTGGAAACTTAGACTGAAGAACATGGTGGCATGACATTTGGCTGAGTCATGGCAGCGTCCGAGTATTCGCAGAGCATAGCGAACCAGATCAGATATCACATTACTTGACATATTACAGATGCGCTCCATGGCATCTTCACAATAGGCCAAGTAGTAAATGGCAATGGAGACGCCGGTTGTGGCTAAACTGTGTTGTGGCACCTTCAATAGCAACTGCGTCAGAGACAAAACCCCGTTCAAATTATTTAATAAATTTTGGTATTGGTATTTCGCTATTGATATATAATTTAAAATGAACTCACCTCCAGACCGCCGTGTGCTATAAACTCCAATGCAAACTTCTTGTGGCAGAGCAATGATGCCAGGTACTTCAGCACTTCGTAGGCAAGACAGGTATCGCGATGATCCAAGTTTTCCAGGTAACCGAATATCAATTGTATTACGTTGTGTTCAAAAGACATAGCCAGAAATTCTTGGTACTCGCCCAGACTGGTGAGGAAGCGCATAATTAGCATTTGACTGGCGTCTGCAGACGGCGGATGCAATGGTATATACATGCGCTTGTAGAAACGCGAGGAACTTGGAAACGCATCGCGACTGTTATCAAATAGGATCGACATATTGGAGTTGTTGCCCACATTTTCCAAATGCACAGAGTTGCCTACAGTACTAGCAGTGCCATTGTGTTGCGGCGACTGCGGCGCCGATGCGGCGCAAGGCATCCAACTTAACATGGCCGATGATGAACTGTCAGCTGATGTGTTGTGGTCTATGTTGCCCGTTGTTGAGCCGCTTTTGCTTATAGCCAGCAGCATGTGCAGACGTTTGATCATTTTGGGCACCAATCGCATGTTCTGATCGCGGCAGGTGATGGCGATATCAGTTACCTCCATTGCGGAGGCCAATAAGCCGGTGGCATAGCTCTGCAATGGCTCAATGCTGTCTTCTGCCCAGCCGTATAGCCGGGCAATAACGCCATCGTCGGTTTGAAATACAGCCGACGCCTCTAGGCCTGGCCTAATTACCAGTATTAAGCGACAGGCAATTATGTTTAATTCAAGTGAGCTGCGTTGAACATTTTGTCTAGTAAAGAAGTTCTCGCGTAGATAATCGTTGACAAGCTATAAATAAAATAGTTGTGGTGATTTGGATAGGCCAATCTGTTAAGGAGTGACTTACTTTGCCCATAAACATATCCTTGCGAAATAGTAACTTTAGCAGCAGGCCGTACTGGCAGCTGGGGTCGGTTCGATAAGGATGCCTCATATCCAAAGGATCTGGATCCTTTCGCATATATACATCCTGCTCGCGCTCAAAAATTTCGGCCAGCCTGTAAGAGTTAATTAAATACAGTCAATAAAAATACATTTATGTCCATGAGCGCATCGCTAGTTACTTTTTTAAGGTGGGAACAGGGTCGTAACCATTCTGTGTTTGCTCTTGCTCCCATTTATCAATAATCTGCGTCACCTCCCTTTTGGTGGCGGACCGTCTTTCGGCAGCGGTGTCCTGCTCCTCATTATCATTCTCACCGCCATTGCTCTCAGCGTCCCCCTCACCCTCACCGTCACCATCACCACCACCTTCATCACCATCGCCATCTGCAGGAGGGTCGCCCTGGTCGCTATTTTCGCTTCCGTACAACGGAATATCTAAAAATCCATCGGGAGGTGGTTGTGCTGGCTCGCCGTCTTCCATCGCGCCGTCAGCGGGCACGTTGTCACTATCACTGCCATCCGACATTGCCAAAAATTGTCGGTCGCCGCAGCGACGATTAGCCTATTAATTCTAGTGAATATGTACAGCTTTTCGAAAACCGCGCAAGGGCTACTGTGTTTTATATAGTAATTTGCACTTAAAATTTAATACGATTTCGAAAAACTGTGTAAATTGTGGCGGCTTAAACGATTCCAACAACGCTTCCCCACCACGCGCTTCTCTTTTTTTTGCAAGCTGTCAAAATCATCTGCTTCTTCCATGAGCAATTCGCATGGCAAATACCAAAATAATACCAGCAACTTATCGATACACCACTAAAAGTAAGTTGTGTCATCTTGCACATCTCTATACGTGATGTTTTGATATTTGGACGCATATAACAAAATTAAAATGGGATTTTTATACATTCTCAGTTGGATATCTTTGGCCATACAGATAGCGTTTATCACATTGTCAATTGGTGAGCTCGCACAGATGGACAAAATATATAAAAAAACCCATGGAAATAATACTTTTGATTTGTTTACAGTTGCTGGTCTTTACTATTTAGCTGAGCTGGCTGAAGAGTACACAACATCAGCACGACGTGTGATATTGTTTATGATAAGTTTTACAATTTTCGTGTACATCTTGTTAATATTGTTCGAGGATTTCCCTTGGACTATGATGCTATGCGGACTAGGAGCGCAAGTTTTCCACCTCAGCATAATGAACAGTTTCCCTTTTATACGATTATTATCAGTGCCCTTCATTGGTTCGGTCTGCATGCTAATCGTTAACCATTTGCAGGCGTTTTATTATTTTACGAGTTACTATGTCCCTTTTACTCAGGTAAGTTGTTTTTCAAGACAATGTACTATGAACATAATTCATAATTAAAATATGTATATGTAAATATATTTTTATTTTTTAGGTTCTCGCCTATTTCACCATTTGCATGTGGATCGTGCCTTTCGCGTTGTTTGTTTCGCTTAGCGCCAACGATAACGTGCTGCCCACCGTGAATGACAATCGGTTTGGCAGCAGTCCAGATGTGGTTACAAATTATTTTGCGCGTAACAAAAAGCAGGGACTGCTTTCATTGTTCAACTATATGAAAGACACATTGCTTCCAGCACGGAGCAAGAAATCATTTTAAACACCCGAAAACAAAAAGACTCAGTTAATGGGAACGGGGTGCTATTGGCTACTCTGCATTGTGTGAGAGGACTCTGTAACACTAAGTTATTTATTTTGTAATAAAAATCTTTTGTAGATAACTAGAACTCCTTAATCCCAGTTAATATCAGAGTGATGGGTAGCCTAATGGTTCTCTCAAATTTTGTTACTTCTAATTCGAGACTGAGCATTGAGACTAAATGGACGTTCACTCAGAAAACTCCAATACGATCGGAAATCGCCATCGTCTCGATTTTGAAGTTCACCGGCAGCTAAGTTGCTGGTTCAGATGAAGTTACCCATACAAATTCAGAAATGCATATGCATGTACATATATTTGCAGAAAGAAAAGCCCTAATCTTCGTCTGCTGTTGGGAGCCGTCATATTTGAGGGGATTGTCTGGTGCATGTACACAGATAGGAAAATTTGTAATTTCTGAAGTAATCTTTTAATTTGATTTGGTAGTAAACAGTGTAGTGTTGGAAAGTGTTTTGTTTCCGGTGCTGCCGTACTTAATATAAAACGTGCGAATAGTTTAAAGTTAAACGGCTGTATTAAATCTATAACCCTTCACAGTTCCTTAAAATGAGAACATATGTACATATTTCATATATCTATATTCTACTGTGTTCGCACTATCTTATAATATTTTATTATATTTTAATTGGAAGCCATTTTTAATTCGTTTTTAATTTGGACATCCATGACAACCCCATGACAATATTTGTATAAAGAAACGACATGTTTCTGTAAAAACTCTTCTCGTTTTTACATACATATATGATGGAGTGATCGGTCTTGACAAGTTACACATATCTACATAACTCTAAACCTGTGGGAACGGTATTAAAACAGCTTAACGGCCGGAAAATGTGCACTTTTAGGATTCGTATCGTCATTCTGATTTATAAGCCACATTAGTAGCTTTTGGCGTAGATTGAAATTAATTCTCTGCTCGATTTATCAGCTCTTTATTGTTTAAATATAGGTATTTACTTTTTGTTCTGAATTATTTATAATAATTCTGCTGCAAAAGTGAGTTAGTTAATGGTAGTTTCATGTGTAAAAATAAAAAAATGGCATTAATGACAGTTTCTTATATATTTTGTAATCGATCTGGGTATTCATTAAAATGTTTAACTGATGTTAAACTGTGTAAGCTGTGTTTCATTTTATTACATGTAAATATTTACATACATATGTACTTTGCTTGATCATATAATTGTCTGTTACTACATTAAAAGTGTACATTCTTATTACAAATACCTATTCATTCTCATATTAAGTTGACCGCAAGTTAGAAAAGTTTTTAAAGTTTATCTATCAGAACATTTTATTATTTTAAATGCATTGAAATAAGTATGAATGAATATTAAAGAATCCCACTAGCCAATGCCCACGCCGGAAATGCAGAAGAAATACGTCGAAGTAAATGGAAGGAAGTGTTGCAGGTGCTTAGTCCTTACAGTTGTATGCTGCGGTTGCCTGCTGAAATGATTGTCCATCCAACAACAATCCAACTATGCAATGAATACAATTTTCCAAGCACAAAAGGCGTTTAAAGTTAAACGCTTGCCTTGATAATGACGAAAAATGGCTGCAAAAGCATTAAAAGCATTTATTTTCGGCTTAGCTGCGTGCGGCTGAACGGGAGGAATGTAAGGAGTGTCGACACTGACCAAGAAATGGGCATCCCCTAGTTATGCCAGCTCCTTGTGGCTGTAGTTGCATTTGCAGTTGTTGAAATGTTCTGAACGGACGTTCGGATGCGTTCAGATTATTCCAGTATATTTGAAGAAATTTAATACTTTTAGTGCACAAAGCAAAAATTGTTGAATAGCATTGCGATAAAGCTGAAAAGCGAAGCACAATCACAAAGTTGATTGCAGTTTTTACTCCGGAACGCAAGCCAGACAATTTGAATAGCATTGGTAAGCCAAAAACAGACTTGTGAATAGCTGCCAAGTCGGACGCTCAGGCTATTGGGATGATGATGCAAACAGATTTGTGTTAATGGATTTCACTTTTTAAGAAATGAATTACAACAACCTCACCTCCTTCATCTTTTGCCTTTGATATCGTTCTTCCTATTTTGCACGATAGGATAATATTTGAAGTGGACTTTGATTCATTAGCATGCCAAATGTAATTTTTTAACAACGTTTTTCTAGTATATATGTGCACATATGTATGTAAATGTGTAAACGGATATGCAAAAGTGTCCATTTGTGTACATATGTATTTATTTTGTATATTATGCATATTAATCCATAGGGGGTATAAAGTTCATTGGCACTATGGCTGCTCGTCATGGTATTTCAAATAAAAAATTGCGTAAGCATTTTTAATTTATTTTTAAGATTGGATGAATCGTTTTGTGAATAAATAAATACAACGACTTTGTCTTGCAATCACAAAAATCCAATTTTAGAAACCATTGAACTCACATTGGTACATATGGACATATGGGTAATAGACTTACCTAATCCTTTAGAAATACAATCAACACAGGAAGCACTTACAACAATTTGAGTCGCAAAACCTGGATACGCTGACATTTTTAAACCTTTGCAGCTAGCTTAAATCTGCGCTGTAAAGATTATATTCGAAAATTTTGAATGGGGAAAAAATTGTTCATCTCCAAATGGCATGTTAAAAAGTGTACGCTATGGATTCTTTTGTCCAGAATGTTTTTTTTGTGTGTGATGGTTAAATGTATAAACTGCAATTAAATGAAACAAAAGCCGCCACAGAAAATTGTGCCAGCAAAAAACTAAATGAAAGTTGTTAATTAAAGCAATGCATTGTTTAAAGGCCCTGGCCCTTACCACTCTGTTTACCTCAACTATACATGTTTGTGCACATGAATGGCCAGTTGAAATAAAATAATAAAAGGTTTGCGAAATGGAGTGTAGGCCTTTTTCGTTACCTGAGCATTTAATAAAAATACTTTATTGTAGTCGAAATTTTCGCTTCTGTATACTTGTTTATATGTCACTCAAAACTCAATCGAATTTTAATTTCACTTTTTTTTAATGTAACCCAAGCCGTGTCTGATAAAGATGCCTGTAAGTACAATGAGAGTTTTTGCTAAAATATTCGTTTCTAATTGTAATTCTAAATTATATTACTATTAGAAATCCATGTAATAATTTCAGGGACTGTAATCATTATAAGTGTTATTAAAAAAATTACAAAATAATGATTATTTTTTAATTTTATTAATTCGCTCACAGTTTAATGATTAATTTTGATGATTAATTAATTTTGATGATTATTATTAATATTGATGAGCAAAAAAATAAAACTTATAAAATAATGATTATTCTTTGAGTTTTATTTTTTTGATCAAAAATAAAACTCAAGCTGAAACTTTGTCTGTTTCATAAGGATTAAGGACAATATTTATATATATCCTTAATCAGTGAGTCAAGGGGAACATTTTTAATTAATTAATTTTTAATGAACTAAATAATTAATTTATTAATTAATTATTTTTTAAATCACAAATGTGAATGTATGACAATAAATTCCTCGCTATCCAAAAGTTACTATAAAAAAAACAAAATAATCATTATTTGCGGTCCCTGAATAATTTAATGTCAGGAATGAACAATCTTGTGCCAAAATGAAGACCCAGAAAATGTCGACTACGATTTTCGAATGGCAAACGTACATTTTGCGCCACGTCGCTATTATTATACCACCTGAACACCGGCACACCAACAGCTCAATGCTCTCGTGCCATTTCTCACTCAATTACATGCAAAAGCTCGTCACAAAAACTGCAAAAGGTAAGGGAGTTATTTTTTTTGTTATTATCTAGCATAGACGGAAAAAAGCGGTAGGCTGTTTCTCCCATTTTTTTTGCGGGCATCGCCAGGCTTTTAAAAGGACAGAAACGGGTAAATTATAACACCATCGTTCAGAGTGTGACAATGTCATTGCGCTCAAGTCTGCACTGAACGGCTTTTCAATGGGGACAATTTATAATTTGATTAGCACATCGCTGACTGCACACGAAAGCGTAGCCGTGGAGTCAAAAGCCAAAGTCTAGCGAAAATGCATTCAAAAGTTAACGGAAGTGCAATTGAGTGCTTCGGGTGGCACATGATGAAGAGAGAGTTGCCAAAATGGGCACGGCTTTCCGCATTATTCAAATTCTCAGGCTATCTCATATACGAGTACAGCTGTAATTCTGTAACTCTGAATTTGGGGAAGTATGGCACGCTATCTGGCTTTAAATGCTAAGTGTTTTAACTTTTCTTTTGTTTTTAACAGGCATGCAAATTGATGTCAGTTCGGAAAGGTTGTCCCATTCCCCATTTTCGGTAACTGACAATGGAGACAATGACAAATGATGATTGAGTAGTTGGGCTAAAAAAACAAAAAACAAAAACGAAAAAGGAGGAAGCGTTGTGCTGGTCAGGCGGCGAAAGTTTATCTTTGGCATTCAATTAATACTACAAGTGGCGCTTTTATTCAACCACAAGATAAAACATATATACTGCGCTTCGTCCTCTTCATCATGATAATCAGTTTAGATTTGTGCCTTGTCTATGCCTTTCACCATGCCGAGGCAAAACAAATGCCGAGAACAAAAGGATACGGCAAAGTGCATAGAAAAAAAATACACAAAACACTAAAGGGTTTTCTCCGCACAAGGCTCGAGAAATTCATTTATTCATTAAACAATAAACAACAAACGCCGCCTCTTTCATTTGTGGCCGTTGGAGGGGCGGACTTGAAAAATAGATTAATAGTCTCAAACAAAGCCGACGAAATCAATTTATTATGCCGCAGACAGTTGACCGCAGCGATCCAAATATGCAAAAAATCAAATTAAACAATAGATTGCGGGAAGGTGACAAAAACACACACACAAAACCAACTACAACTACGTTCATACACACATACTATAAGTGACTTTTATTTCGGGAGCAAGGATTTGAAGAGCAAACATTTGTGCGGCTCCGATTTCGTAATAATAATAAAAATGTTGAGTCGCACAAATATTTTCCTCTTCTGACTTGCTCATTGAGTGCACTATAGAGAATTTTACAGTTGTCCACTGATCTTAATAGGCTTCGTAGCACCAACGATCATGTTCGCAAACGCTCATCGGATAAGTACTCTTTCCCATTGCATTCAATTCCTGCTGCTGCTGCTTTTGTTCGTTCTCGTACAGCTCCTTCATCCGTAGGCGTCGCACCATTATGATCAAGGACTGAGCGGTTTTGACTTCGAAGCTCAGCGGCTTTACCAAATAGTTGATGACTCGATTTTGGGTGCTTATTCTAGAGAAGTCCCGATTTACGATTTCTGAAAGACTGTAACCGAACTCAGATGGCAATCGGATTGATATACAAATATATTTTCATACTCACTAGTTAGGGGCCATGATCCAAACTAAAAGTGTGGGTTAAACAAATTCTAATGTAAAAACCCGATGGAAATATAGAAAACGTAATGCAAAATGAAGAGAAATACAAAAACAAAACTAAAGTAACTTGAGTAAAAATGAAACTGATACGTTCTCCAAATGAGATGTTATTTGATTGGAAATTCAAATCCTTCGCAAAGAATGCTTCAATATTAGAGCCAATGGGTTTAACTGATTCGAATCCTTTGGAAACCTTAAATAAAAGCAACAGGTAGAATTAAGTTAAATAAGTGTACTTCAACGATTAATTTGGTTTATTTATGGGTTTTACATTTAAAAAAAACAAGTTAAATACAGAGTTTTTTATTGGGCTTCTCAAAGTATTTTGAAGCCATCTCAATAATATTTATTTTGTATCTATTTAATTCGATGTGGTATTCTCGATAGACCAAACGAAAAATATGTTTTCTTATATCTGTCTTAATGATTTAACCATTTTGACACAATTTTGTTTATAGTATAAGCCAAACTGAAAGTTGAGATGACTGCGATTGGAATTCACTTGAAAAGGGCTTTGCAGTTTCTATTACTACTCTACTCTATTACTACATATTTCCGAAATGCGACCTTTGCCCTTGTCATCAATTGTGTTCAATTTATAAATCAATCAATCGGCCATCAACGTCACAGACAAAAGGTAACGAGTCTGACCCAGACATAAGCTATTATAATTTCCACAACGCAATGTTTGGCTAATTGAATTTGTTGCTCACCTTTCGAAATTCGTAGAACGCCCGATTTTGCCCCAACGCTGTTCCCTACATTCACTTTCCTATCTTTATAATCGCGGTGAATGAGGGTGAAAAGGACGCCAATCCATGTCAATGTATGTATATACGAGTATGTATTGAACTCCGACTATGCGCGTACAATGGAAGCTTTTGTTAGTTCTGCTTATAACAATATAGTCACAATTAATAGGCAGATATATATAGTAGACTGCTATTCGATAAGTATTGCAAAATCACTATTTCGTAGCTGTGGTTAATCAATAGATTGGGTCTTACACGACGAGGCCAACTGTCACTTAGCACATGGAATTTCATTTCGATTTAGATAACATACACGTGGCTCAGCAACACAAGTACCAGCTGAAGAAAGAAGGGCAAGTGTTAAGTAAGAATGGCGTATGTGTAATGGTCGTGGTATTCTACTACAATATATATTCCCATACTTGTAGGTACTCGTAACCGAAGAACCATGTGTGGTGTGCGGTAAATGGGTGTCTTTCGATTCAGTGGGAGGTTTTGCACTTAGTTTATTAATATTAATATTTGCGTTTGTATGTTATATCTTGGCTATTTTTAAATAATTGCTTATGTTCTGTTTTATAAAATGACTCTTTAAATGCAGATTATAAAATTTTTAAGGCAATTACTTTTACTTGCGATATCGCTTTCAACTAAGACTTGAAGGAGAAATTTGTTGAGAAATTTGGCCCACTCTGTTACAATTGCGTCTTTTATTTTCTTGAAGACGCCAAATTTTCTTCTGGGGAATTTAAAAAAAAATTTTTAAAAACTGTTTTGCGTGTTTTGAGACATAAATGGCCGCATTGTCTGGTTGGGCTGCTCAACAATAACTCCATATAAGACTTTCCTATAAAGATCATTACAATAACTATTCTTTTAACCAGTGGAGGCCCGTGGAAAATTCTTTTGATGGGGCCCTATCAGTAAAGTTTTAATAAACTTCGAGATTTTCAGCGTACTCAATTACACGTTGTATAATGGCCATGGGTCTTCTCTCTTAGGCGAGAGGGAATGTTCTGTAGTCCCTACGCTAGCCCAATGCGTATTGGAGACTTCACATTCATCCATAGAACATAATATCTCATTCATAGAACATAATATCTCATCTGCATTCATCATCTATTCCCTAGCTTTTCGGTGAAGGAACAACATCGTGAGGAAACCTGCATACATTTTCAATGAAATAAAAATAACAATCTAATTTCAATAAGATATTTTTTAAGAAAACTCTTTTTTTTGAGCTTTCTGTTCCGCAAAAGTGTCTACAACATCATCAAAGTTTAAAGATCGGGCCATTGAATTTTGAATAGACAGAATAGCCAAGTTAGATAACCTGTCTTGTCTCATAGAGTTTCTTAAATAGGTTTTTATCAATTTTAGTTTTGAAAATGATCGTTCAGCGCTAGCTGCAGTCACAGGAATTGTAAGAAATAACATTAATGCAGTGCATACATCAGAAAAGCTGCAGGACATAAAATGATTTTTTATTATTAATAAATCACGAAGTGGATCGAAAACTGAGGGTTTCTCTTGCAAATGATTCAGATATGTCTTTTTTATATATCTCAACAAATTCTAGAGCTTTTTTTAATAGATCAATGTCATTTAAAACTTTTAAAGTGGAAGGCTGCAAAACACTGCAATTTGAAACAATTGCATTCATTGGAAGGAAACGCGATGTCATTTGTTTATAGTGATGTCGAATACTCGATAAAATACATTTCTTCACTTTGAATAAAGTTTCCGGATCTTGGAGACGCTCATCTTCGCAAAGCTCATCAAATCAAATCCATTTTAAAATTCATGTTCATGCCTTTCCAATTCTTCCAGACAATTTTTCAAACGTTTTAAGGCATTTGAAAGATCGGTGGCTTTAGACTGAAGTTCTTTAGAGGCTACATTGATAGTAAGTAGGATCTTGCAATGGAAAACCATGTAAAACTTGATAAAATATTCCAACAGGGCTTAGTTTTCAACCCAACAAATCTATTTAAATTAAATCATGAAAAAATATATTTTGAAATTTTAAAAATAGGGGAAGTAAAAAATTCAAATTAAAACAACAATTAAAACAGGAATTAAGAACAAACATGATAATAAATGAATAAGTATGCAAATGCTGCCACTAGAGGCGGCAATTCACTTCAAGTGAGAGGCAGAAAGTATAGTGTAGTTAGTAGACTTACTATATACTATATTGTACCGTTATATTGCCCACTTAAATCTGCTGCCCCAACATGCGCTCTTAGTTCATTGGCAGGCAAAAGCGAGTGGCAAAGAAAAGCGTGAAAACAAAGAGTAAACAAATCGTTGTACTGCAATTTCTCGACAAAAGTCATGTGCGAGCGGAACGAAACACTCAGGTGTGTAATTGCAATCCAAATTGGTCAAGTGTAACAATGTAAAGGAGCGCGAGTACACACACACACACACACACACACACACACACACACACCCAATGTGTGGCACACCTGCTTCACACATGCTCGTATAACGAGGCTTTGGAGTCTCTGCCTCTGGCAGCGTTGGAATCAATTCGATCCTTGAACTTATGCAGCCAACAACTGAAGGCTTGGAGTCGAGCAAGAAGCAAACTCAAATTTCGTAGTGCAACCGAATGTCACGTGCATCGACACATTTACAACAATTTTTTGGGTTTGCGGCGTCAGTTGCCTTGGCTTTGTTACTTTTGGCCCAAAAGTGTCGTGACATTTGGCAACTGACATGACGAAAGGTTATTGCTGCGTCCAAAGCAATCAATGTGCATTGCCGTGCACTCCCAAGCTGTACGTGTATGTGTGTGTATAAGTGTCACACACACACACACACACACACTCACACACCTTTACAGTTTTCGCTGTTCGTTTTCGGAACTCGGCCACCCATTCATTATGTTGACCACGCTGTCGCCATTTGGTACGTGACATTTTGCTAACTACTCGATGGTAACGGAGGAGCGTGGAGAAGGCGCTCGACCATCGCAGACGTTGTTGCCGTCGCCGTCGTCGTCGTCATCGTTGACAGTGTCTGGTGCGGCAGCAAAGGATGCTGACTGCATCCTCCATATTGCAAGCCGGTGCTAGCAAGCGGCACTGCATGCAATCGACTCACATTCTCAGTCTGTTTATGGCCTGTCCTAATGCGAGCTTTGGGAACGTGAGCTTTACTCGCTTTGGATGGCCTTTTGTCTAGCGTTAATCGGCACATCCTTTGGCCGGACTCGACAGCACCCGACTAAGCTCAACTACAGCCACTGCCTTGGCCAATTGCGCTTGCACTCGTTTAGGATTTGCGCATTTGGGCACTTGGGTATTCATTTTCAGCCTCTTATCAGGTAGAGTCAGGAATGTTAATGCGCCATGATGGATACCTCATTTTTTGAAATTACAGTTTCCAGTCTTGTTGTTTAAATTCCATTTTAGAATTGCTTCAGCTCTTGCTACTGCTACTAATTCCCTTAGCGGAAGAATGAGATCGGATTCAATTTGTGAAATAAAACGGGTTTCTTATATTTGTTGATAATTTATGAATATCTCTTACACGGATAAACGGAAACTATTTTCTTGACGATATTTGGTCAGGACTCTATAGTAAAAGTCTTTGTACAAGTTGGAATTACTACCATTGGTTTTATTACTACATTGATAGAACTTCGTCTCGCATTGTACTGAAAATTTAAAGTGCGAAATCGTATTGCGTGGGCTTCAATCATCCCCATCAAGATTGATGGAGCCCAATAAATATTGAAGAGCGAATTTTTAGTAGAAGTCATGCTTAACTTAATCCCAAAGATTAATATACCAATTCTAATTATGGTTTATATTTTCAAAACTGTGAAAAAGACACAATATATCATGTTTAAAATGCTCTCAAAACTTTATTTAGACATTGCTTAAATGATTGACTTTTAAATACTTTGGACTGTAACTCCCAAGTGCTTTATGTTTTGGGAAATCTGAACTCCTGGGGCCTAATTTATAGGGAATGAAACTTTGACACAAGTTTCCTGTTATTAATTTTATTATTTATTTATATTATTTAATTTTTCAGAAATTGCAGAATTTAATTCTTGATTTGCCAGCGCTTAGGTACTTGTTATGAGAATCGCGGAGAAGGGCGCCCACAATATTTTTATTTAATTTATCAGAAATTTCACAATTTAATTTCAAAATAATATAATTTTTATTCTTCAGAAATGTATATACTTGTACAATATATACAATACATATGTATGCATGGTCACAGTATGTGTTAAACTATATGCCCTAGCTTAAGGAACGTACCAAAGTAATTTGTTATTGGCAGTTCCTTTAGAAACTTTAGAGAGTGTGGGAAGAGAGAGGCAGCGTATTGTAAATAAACTTAAATTTGTAAGCAAAAATGTTGAGCCCATCCAACACGGGCAACACATAGAGTGAAAATAAGTTCTTATGACTTCTCAAAAAAAAAAAATGGAATATCAAATCAACATGAAATAGGGTTATATAAAAAAAGGTACAAGAGTTTCAGACCAGAGCTTGCTTTTCTCACTGTTTAAGTATGAAATTCCTGATGCATTACGTTTATGCCAACACGAAAGCAGGGAAACATTTCAAACTTATAATAATTATTTTTTGATCCACACGAAAGTTGATTATAGGTATAAAACTTTTGGTTGTCCCTTCGATTTCGTGTTTGTTGGCAAAACTGTATTTTAAGTATTGTATTTTAAGTATTGAAATCCCTTATTCATGTATACATAAGTATACTTGTATATTAAATGTCTCGATTGCAATCGATAATCGAAGAGAGAAGAAATTACGGTTGATTTCTTCATATCGAATTTTTAACATACTTGTACTATAGTAATGAAACGAATTTTCAAATGGAAGTGAATGTTCCACAATTTGCTTAACATTTGCTCAATATTTCCTTTTATTATTCATATTCAAATTGATTTGAATGTATGAGAATTGAGGTTTTCTTAGCTCTAACTGCACCTATTGCGTTGCCCCTATCATTGAAATAGTGGCTTATACTGAACTCCTCATATCAAGCAGCTATTATGTATTTTGTATATGTTAGTATCAGTACGGTAAGCGAAACCCCATGGGGGAGTTGTTCAGTTAATGGCACAAATGCGCGTTTTGCAATTGCATTGCAAGGGAGCAGCAGCAGCCCGCACATGCATTTTGAGCTGTGGATTTATATTGAGGTTACAAATTGCAAGTAAATAGAGCTAGGCGGGTAAGGCGCCCGCGCACTGACGAGCCACTGGATTCCCCCATGCCCAGTTGAGTTATGGACGTGTAAGAAAATGTAACGAAGAGCGTCAGACACACAACACTCCCGCACTAAGGTAAAGTATAGTAAATGTGTAAACATTTATTTATGTGCCGGTCATGACGCACTCTAAAGCACTTCAATTGCCCTGATTCAGGGTACATGGACATGGCTTCTGGCTGCCGAGTAGGTGGGTAGACCAATGGCATTACATATGCTGCTGGACAGGGCGGACGGGAGATAGAAATTGGCCCATGACTAGACTACTAGACAAGCCCACAGTCTACAATTCACAGGCCACGCATTTGCAAATTCAAATTTGAAATTTGTCGGGCATTTGCAATTACATTTTTGAAATTCCCCTCACACATCTACACAAGGATACAATGCTCTGGGTAATGACAACAACCTAGTGGAGCTAGTGGAGCCAGTCTAGCAACGTTCAAGCCAAGCAGCTCCCACATTGGTGGGTTGAAAACATGTGTCGCTCATTTGGCGTGTAATTCGAAAATGGAATTAAATGTTTTGTAAACACTTGGCATTTCGCCCTACAGTTGCAGTCCCGGCTACTTTCATTGCAGCTGCCAACTGCCACCCCAATGCCCAATGCCCAACGCCAACAACAAGTGCACGCTCCACGAGCGTTGCAGCTAGTCAAAAAAAAAAAAAAAAAAAAAAACAACAACAAAAAATGAGAACATACAACATCCGTTTCCGAGTTTGTGGGGATATAAATTAAATTTTATTGCAAACGCTCGCCGTTCGCGCTGTATAGTAAATTGTGATGGATTCAACAATTTCGCTGGCTGTTGTGCCAACACACGATAACGAAATGAACTCGTTATGTACATATAAATTAGCGCATGCTGATGAATAGCAATTACGATGAAGTTCTTCTGTAAATACGAGTCTACAAACGAATATACTTGTATGTACATATGCCACATATATTTTATCTCAGACTCCGCATTTTGGTGAGAGGTGTTTATAAATGGGATGTTGGTTTCACATTAAAAAACCTAACCGCAAAACGCTAACAGGAATCTTATTAAACCAAACTGTAGCCCATATCAAATGTTTAGCAAACGCTTTCGTATTTGACAAGAGATTTGGTTAAAAAATGGACAACATTTGTAAATAATTATATACCATATTAATAGAAATTTCTCTATTTTCCTTAATTACAAGTATGCATATGCAAAAGGCATGAACATTTCAATTGCTGAAAATATTAAACTAACCAACAACATGAAAGCCAATTTACTCAACATGATTTTTTTTTTAACTTGTGTGTTTCCATTTTTTCGAGCAGCTAATTACATGTTGAGTTGTATCAAAATAAAATTGTGGTTGCTAACGTTTAATTAAATTAATATCACATAAGTATGTGCGCGATTTTTTTGTGAAATTATTGAAAGAATGTGCACGTTGTAGCCCGATATGTCAGCCTACATAGATATTAAGAATATCTTTTCTGTTTAGGGGCAACTTTTTTAGGCATTTATTTAAGATATTTTTGGGGATTTTTTCATCGGTCGTCACATCAAATTTTTTTCAAAGAATGTTTGTGATTCGAAATCATAATTGTAGAAAAATTATATTTTTCTGAATCGCATATTATTAATTAATTAGTTAAATGTCAATAGCATTATTTGATGCGAATTTGAAAGTACGCCCCTTCCAACGGTTAACCTGTCCTTAGCACACCCTACTTTCGTTAACGAGGCTTTGGGCTCGTACTCCAGTTGCGGGGAAATGTTGTCACAATTTGTCTTGCCTGGGGGAGAACTGTCAGCCAGGATAGTCAGTCAATCCTTAATCACTACGATTACTGGAACCGAAAGAAGATGTGGTACAAGTCCCCTAATATCCTGTTACGTAGACCCGTATTATTATTCACATCATTGTTCTGCCCCACTCCTGGCGCTTTTTAATATAATGGGCACATCATTATGGTTTTTTGTTTTCGATGCAATATTTAATTAACAACAACTTGTACTGAGTGTTTCTGCCAAAAATAGAATAAAATCTTTATTTATAAAAAACAAAAAAAAAAAAATGCGCAAACTCATGAGCATGTTGTTGAACACCAAGAAACAAGTAAAAAAGTCGCCACTAAACAGTGTATTTTCTTTTTGAAAATGTTGTCCTTTCCTCTTTTTATTGTTTGGCCCTGAGGAATGGTGAGGATGCTGTCGCCACTCCCAGCAATGGGCAAGGATGCCAAGTTGCAGTTTGTGTTAAAAAAGCGCAGCACAATTCTACTTTTTAATTAAGCTTTCCATTTTTTATATGCATTCCTATGCATGTAGTCGTGTCTTTCGAAAGCGCTGCACCGTGATTTCGTGCCGGTGTGAGAATAGTTTATTTTCGAGAGAGAGAGAGAGAGAGAGAGAGAGAGAGCGAGGAAATGCGTAAGGCGAAGGCAACTGGGCAAGCACCTGCTCGCCTACTTGACAAATGACTGTGATGCACGTTGAGGCCGACCTGGGGTTAAGTGCGCCATTTCATGTTGTTTTTCGTTGGAGTGTAGTGTGTGTTGGAGTACTAGGTTAAGAATTGTGGAAAATTGTGCTGGCAAAAGCTGGAATCAACGTCTGAAAGCCACCTCATTACAAAAATGTCAGTATATAGAAATATATTTATTTGTTGTAGTAATATCTTGTTATGAAAGACTTCGAATCAGGATCTGCTTAAAAGTTAAGACCCAAAGCATTCTATATCGTATACTTTTAGAAATTAAGTGGTTAAATAGTTAGACTATTAAGGCTGAGTTTGTTTGTTTAGCAAAGAATGGATACCTTTTGCTGGATCAGAAACTATGCATCTTGTATTTTATGATCCCCAAACTTTTATAAGTTGTATTCTGTTTTTGCAAAATAATCGAAAAAGGCGTTTTAGGCCCCACAAAAGTATCCATAATAAATATACAACTGAGCTGTTTTAAAATTTCTTAAAGCTTGATTTGAGAACGAAAATTCTGAATAGGATTTTCGCTCTAAGCTATTTTTAGTCATACATTACATGATAAAAGTCAGCTTTTAACGCGGCAGAACTCTTCATCCAGCATGTCTGTGGTCTAGAATAATTTTTTGAGCTCGCAAAAAGCCAGCTTTCATAACCATAGATAAATGAGATTCTGGCTAGTCGCAAACAAACTTCAGGTTCAAATTATGAAACCAAAAAAGAGTTATGAAGAGTGGCGATATATATTTAAAATCTTTACGGGAGTCGCATGTAAAAATGTGGATAAATCATTCTTAAAAACGACAAATGCATGTATTATCCGTTTTGAAAGACTGCGATTGATTTATTGACTCATAACTGACTTCAGTATGTACTTATATAGATTGTAAGAATGCAGTCGTTTCAGTTTTGGTTACCGCAGTCGATACCTGAAATTTAAATGGGCTGCGACTCAACTACCTGGCGTTCAGTTGGCATTGATGTGGTGAGCGAAGCAGACGTGTTTTCCGAGTATTTGTATATTATTTACCAAATTGTAAGCATATGAGAACGCGATCGTTGATCTTGAACGAATTACGTACCTCTTACTCGTAGTACGTGACTGACATCTGTTTTGAGAAATCTGGCTATAAAGTGCTCGAAGACGCGTGAATATGTAAACTCAAATGAACATTGCTCTAGTTTATTTAAACTGGCTAGCTTCTGAACTCTATAATGCGATATTGCATGGTTACGGGACTGTAGTTGACCAATCTAATTTTGTGCATTTTGTAGTTGTCGATGAGCCAGCCATCGGTGGGCTCAGACATAGCCTCAGGCTCAGCTACAGCCTCATAATCAAGTTTCGACCCATTTGCTTCGCTGCCAATCAGTTCACGGTGAAAGGTGAGCAGAAGTTCGCCAAGCACAATGCGCTGATGTCCGGGCGTCAGATGGGACTGCAGCTTTGATTTCTCCAAGACCTGATCCGTAAGCTTTAACATTTCCTGCTGCTCGCTCTGCGTATCGAAGTCGCGCACATTGCGTAGACCCAGGAACGCCATGTCGACACAGAGATACCAGCGATCGGAAATATAACGTGTCCTCACCGAAGTGGGCATGGCTGTGCGAAAATGGTCGACATCGAATCGTACAATAGCGGGGTAGAGTTGTTTACGATATTCTTGGGCCAGAGCGTATATATCACCCGAGGACTGGGGTGTACAGAATTTGTTTATTTGACTCCAATCCAAAGAGCGCACTGCATCGATCATGGCTTTGGCTGCTTGTTTCGTGCCAGCCACAAATTCAAACTCGTCAAAATTTTGGGCCAGGAAATAACGCAGCTTCCACATGCAGTAACGGTTTCGCACTTTATTTAATATTTGAAGGAACAGGGGGCCGAATCTACCCCGTTTTTCCCCGACATAACGCTGGTAAAAGGAGAAATAACGCCCGTCGTGTAGGACTGGGTGGGGCAGGAAACCTAAAACCGAGCTCTGCTTGGACGCACAAAATAATTTTGATTGTTTGGTTTGATGTGTAATGATATCCACGAGTCCTTTGAGTGATCGAAAATTCATTTTAGATAAAAGTTTTGAAGAATTAAAAATACTTTTGACGAAAATATCAAATAAAATTTGTGCGCTGTCACATAAAAGTCAAAGGTCACTCAGTGGTGAGATGTGCTTTCAAAATTTGTATTGTTGTGCCTTTAGAATTAAGCATTGGTTTTTAGGATTGAAACTATGTAGACTCACTTGACTGACTTGACACTTGACTTTGGTACTTGGAACTACTTCGGCTCAAGTGATTTGAAATTTTGGCAGGCATTGTGACTGCACCATTAATGTGACTGCTCTACTCTATCATAGCAAGAAGTTTATTTTTCTTTCCTGTTTCAGAATCGCCATTTAATTATCATGTATTGGCCAATTCTGCTGCTTATTTTTGCCGTGGCATCGACGCAGCCAACGTATGATTATTTCCGCCTACCTCGCGCTGTGGAGCCGCAACACTATGATCTGCGCATACTCACACATCTGGATGATCCTGAAAAACTGCGATTTGAAGGATCAGTCAAGATCAAACTGAACGTCTTGGAGGATACCAAAAACATAACGTTGCATGCCAAAAACTTGACGATCGATGGAACGAATATTATGCTAAGAGAGTTGGCTGCAAGTAACTCAACAAAATGCATCGACCATATCGAGTTGAATACCAAATACGAGTATTATATAATACAGCTATGCACAGAGCTGAGAGCGGGCCTTCAACATGAGCTTACTATTCCATTTGAGGGTGTTTTGAATGGAAATCGAACGGGCTATTATAAGAGCTCCTACAAGGATGTCCAATTAAACAAAACGCAGTATGAAATGGTAAATTGTTCTTACAATTTCGTCACTACATTTTTTTTTCTTTAGCTGGTTCTCAATGACACAATTCTCTCCGACCTTTGCACGCCTAGCGTTTCCCTGTTTCGATGAACCGGATCGCAAGGCCACATTTCGAATAACACTCGGCTACCACAAGCAGTACAGGGGATTCACCAATACGCCTCTACACAAATGTGAGCCACAGTAAGTGAGAGTACATATAAATATATAGTTTCTTGTGTTATTTAACCCTCTTGTCATTATAGCGCATCTCTTGAGAACTACGTCTGGTGCGAGCATGAGAAATTGCTAAGAACTTCCACATATTTGGTGGCATATGCTGTACACAATCTTACGAACGCATCCACTATCATAAGCGATGCACGTAATAGAGTTGAATTCCGTAGCTGGATTCGTCCGGATGCTGTAAATCAAACCAAGTATTTCTCACAATTTGCACCCAAAGTGTTCGCGTACATCGAAGAGTTGTGCAATCTAAGCTTTCCTTTGAACAAAATTGATCAGCTGATTACACAGGATCACAAATTTTCGGCGATGGAGAACTGGGGATTAGTTACGTTTCAAGATAAAGCATTTCTCTACGATGAAAGGAACACTTCGACAGCAGCAATGGAGAGTACAGCAAAGACTATAGCACATGAGTATGCACATCAGTGGTTCGGAAATTTGGTCACCATGAAATGGTGGGACAATCTTTGGCTGAAGGAAGGATTCTCCACATATTTTGCATACTTGGGCATCGATCACGAGCAGCCAGATTGGAACTTTTCCCTCCGCCAAATACGCCAAACCCTAGGACAGTTTTTCCACAATGACGCATTTGAAGAAACCACTGCAATCTCTCGAGCAGTGGAGGGGCCGATTGAGATACTCGAGAATTTTTCCACATATGTGTATGAGAAGGGCGCACTAATGGTGCGCATGCTGCACAAAATATTGGGCGATGATTCGTTCTTTGCTGGTATACACAGCTATTTGCAGCGCCACGCCTACTCAAATGTGGACGAAGCTGATTTGTGGAGAGCGTTTGATGAGGTGACGCTACTGGGGGTCAACCTGAGCACTTGGACGCTGCAGCGGGGCTATCCCTTAGTGAGTGTGGAACGCAATTACTCGACGTCTACTGCAATATTGAGCCAAAAACGTTTTCTATTGTTGGATAAAGAGGGGGAAGATTGTTGGTGGGTGCCCATAACCTACGCTCGTCAACGAGATATGAACTTTGAAAGAACGCAGCCAACGCTTTGGCTGCAGTGTCCCACAGTGGCTGAAACGGAGCTAACACATATCGCAGGTGCAAATGAGTGGATCATCTTGAATCCGCAGGTGAACTCCATATACAGGGTGAACTATGACGAACATAACTGGCGATTGATCATAGAAACATTGAACAGTGCCAGCGATTTCGATCGCATTCATGTACTGAACCGAGCTCAACTATTGGACGACATGATGGCTTTGGCTTGGAAGGGGCCGCAGAGCTATAAAATGGCCTTCAATATGTTAGCCTATTTGCCACTGGAGCGGGACCTTTTGCCTTGGCAGGCAGCCACAAGCAGCCTAGGTAGAATTCAGGATCTTCTAACAATTGAACAAGCAGACATTTACAAGGTTTGTTCTGCTTTGTTTCCTCTGAGTGTCGAATAGTCTTCAATAATTATATTTTCCTGTAGATCTATATGCAAAAGCTACTAACACCGCTATATCAGCGGCTTAGAAGATCAACAGCTATGCTCTGTAGTCCTAGGCAGCCGGAGCAAATTGAATTTGAAAGATTGGTGTATAGACTGGCTTGTCGCTACAATGTGTCCGATTGTGTACCATGGATCTTGGGCTACTATACTGGTGCCCCTATCGACGCACTGGCTGTGCCGGTGGACCTTCGCGATATTGTTTATTGCACAGCCATTGAACACGGAAGCGAAATTGACTTTCAATTGATATTGTCGCACTTCAAAAACTCCACAATTCCAAGTCAGAAAATAGCTTTTGGCAAAGCCTTAGGATGTACACGCAGTTTTCAGCATCTACAAAAAGTCCTCGACTCTGTGTTAAATTCAAGTGAAGTGAAAATTAGAGAACATTTTCCAACAATTGTCGAAGCGGCCTCAAGAAACCCACATATTGCAAGAGAGGCCAGAACTTACTTTTTGAACAGCGCCGAAATAGTTGTGTAAGTGCATCTCTCTCAGAGTAATGTCTACTGCTTTTAATCTAATATTCAAATCTTACTTTAAATGTAGTGAAAAATTTGTGGCCAAGGAATTAAAGAGAACTATCTATGCACTGCCTGCTGGAGTTACATCCCGGAAGGAATACGAGAGCCTAACGCAACAATTTGTCGCTTTTAAAAAATTCGATGAGCTAACAAAACACGCTGCGGAAAGCAGTTTGATTAATTTACAATGGATCGAAAATCGTTCTGGGGAGTTCTTTACGGAGTTAAAGAAAGTTGTGGAACAAGATTAAGCCATAAAGGGAAGTTGGTTATTCTCTTTCTTAACATTTTTAATTACGAAAATAAACATTGCAGCATTTTTCAAATGTTATTAATTCAGGGAAAACAGCAAACACGTCAAACATATCTGCCAATATTTCCAAACGCCTGCAAATGGTACACGCTGTCTGGCTTTGAAAATCTTATCCTGTGCTTGTTTGGCAAGAAACCTGTTTGACAAGGGTCGGCAAACCACGAATACATATTAAATACACATACTTATTTAGATAACGTCTTGCAGTAAATTTTTAAAATGTTAGGTAAAAACACACATTTGAAATTGGCACGAAGACGTAATCACGATTGTCTAGACTCCAGACGTCTAGTAAATTTTTAACGAAAGCATTTACTGGTCTGTTACAAAATGTTTTATTCTAGTACATATGTACGAGCACGTAAGTATGTATGTAGCTGAGTGTAGTACATTGCGTTTGTTAATATTAACCGACTGACTAAGAGGCTAAATAACAAAACAGATTAAGGCTAGTTAGTAATGCTGAACCATTAAAATATACAGGTAACTAGTTCAAGTGCAGTTTTAAAATATTTTTAATGAGTACGCGTATTTGCAAATTCAAGAAATGTTGCAAAATTGTTGAGAACTGACTATACGTCGAAAAACAAAATATTTATTAATGAAAATTAATGTTTTGTTGAAAAAGTGACGACGTTTGAGAATCTACGTGTATTAATTTAGTGTATTATGTCTGCCTTTGGGACTGTTATCAACCACTATTTGTATTCCATTTTAAAAACACTGTTGTTCACTGTTAATCGCGTATTACATTTTATCAGCCTGCATTGCTGACAGGTATTTTTAATTTCATAATTGGAAAAAAGCCACAGAAGCCAATTAAGAAAAGAAATTTATTGGTGCATATGCAAAAAAAAAAAAAAACAACAACAAATAATTGCTCAGGACCAAAATTAACACTATAAATGTTGTTATTAAACTAATTAAATGTGATGCAACCTGATATATGCAGTGGAGGAAACGCATTTCATTTATCATATTATAAATTGTGAAATATTTATGCGACATTTTGCAGAGTTTTCCCATTTGTGCGGCCTGCGTAACTTTTATTTAAATATTATACTTACATTAATTCAGTGACAACAGGCAAGTGTGACACATTTAATATTATTTGCATGTCAAATTAGCCAACGTAAACAAGGTGAGAATTCAGTTCAGAGAATTTCATACAAAACGCAAATATTGTAACATTTAAAACTGTTTACGTTTAAATTCAATATCAATATGCCAGCGGGCAGTGGGCTATAAGGAGTAGGATTGAGTATTCTAGTTTTCTACAAAATAACGATTTGCAATGGTATCAAGTTTATAAAACGAGAAAATGCATACAAATTATTCTCGTTTCTGTTTATACTATATTACATTGTATTCATTTACATAGCATTGATAACATTTAAATATGCGTATTGAGAAATTTAATTCTACTTGTGTCAAGATAAAATATGAACATTAATAAATATATATAAATAATGTGGGTATGAAATGGGTACGAAATGGGTATACAAAAAATTTGTGTGTGTGTCAGGGCGACACGCGATAGAAGTGAAACGTAATGGTTATAGTAGAGTAATTTAATTTGAGTTAGCAGTAGTTTTTTTTAGATTGGTGAGGGGAGCCTTTATAATTATTAACCAAAAATTGTTGGTTAACGTAAAAAGAATGGTTATCGACCTAGAAAACTGCTAGAAAATTGCTTTAAAACTCTCAATGCAGAGATAGAAAATCCGCTAGACAATGGCAAGAAAAGCAATCAATAAAGAAGCTTCAGAAAAGGCTAAAAAATCCTATAAAAATCCGTCAGATAATGTCTAGAAAATATATTAAATATATATAGAAAACCCGCCAGAAAATGGCTAGAAACACCGCTATACAAGTACATATTTGTAAATCTGGCTATGAAATAGATAGCAAGCACGCCGTCATTGATGGTTAACAATCCAGCTTTGAAGAGCCTCAGACAACGCAATTCTATTTAGGTATTTTAACAACCTAAGTATGTATATGAATAAACTGCAATTAAAAGGGAGCTGTCCTAATTAATTGTACGAGTACATGCACATAAGAGGGCAAGAAACCTAATTCAATTATAGTAATGAGTAGCAAATCATGTTGGATCTGCAGTAGTAGGCAACCAAGCCACATTAACTTCATATTAATTGGACGATTTTGTAGTTGAGCCACAAGCTCGGAAACTGAGGCGCCTTTATTTGTGCCACAACCCATGAGGCAAACAGGCAGTAACTGACAAGTTGACTGCACAGCCCGCCCACATAGGCATCGAGAAATTGAATTTTAATGCGCTGCTACATAATTTGATTTCTGTCATGGCTCTGAATGCATAATAATTAACATACGAAACTTGATTGTAGTGCAATCTGGTCGTTACCAGCTGCAACTGACTTCAAAGTCAGGGCCACATACATACATCCATACACACACATACATATCTCTGCCTTGCCCCAATAAGTAGGCAGTGAAAATAGCTAACGATGCATGGAAGTTAAACTGCAAGCTTATTGGACCAGCACAGCCTGTAAGGAAACCTGCATCGTTCGCTTGAAATGCGTTTGCTCGACTGGTTCAAAATTTGATCAATGAGAATTGCAGCACTTGTTAGGCCAACGCAATGCTTCGGGGTCCACTTGTGAAAGTTTCATTTAACCATTTTCGGCATTGAAGAGATATCGGAATAGAATTCGGCTTAATTGAATTCAATTCAATCAATTTTTTTTTGCCACAATCCATTTGTGTTAATATCCATTTGTATAAGATAATGCAATTTGCAATTTGTTTTGCAAATGTGCCAACTAATTTGTCCAAATAATCAACAATCAAACTACAAAAATGTGTGTACAATTCATAAATAAAATCAATTTAAATCACAATTTCATTACAAATTGATTGAGTATTATTTTTCGAAATTCCGCATTTATTTTATTTAAGCGCATTACCAGTTACATCTGTTTTTAACGAGCGAAGCAATTGCTGCTTTATGTTTGAAAAAATATATTAATAGAGTTCAAAAAATTTTGTAATTAAATTACTTGATTCATAAATGTCTTATCATTTCATAATTTAAGAGAGATTATGTTACTTAATTAATGGTACACATTAGTAGCGTTCATTGTTATTATCACCCATAGGGTTCTTAGGTTTGGAGTGTTGTTCGATTTTGTACATTTGAAGTAAATCCATTAATGTTTCCTGCAGTGGCTTATTAAAACATTTAGTTCATTGTGGCGCAAACACTTCCATTAAAAACTTACAAGTATATAGTGCGAAGAAATGCAAATGTCTTTGTTTGTATGTGCCAAATAATCTCAAATGGTTTTATATTTAAATAAACAGCATTACTGAGAAATATGCAAGGCGAGCGTTTTACAGCTAACCAATGTAAATATATATACATTTTATATGTTTTTTTGTTTCCTAGAACTTTACTGCATTTATTGCTTCCTTCCACTTTTGTTTCAATTTTATACGAGTACAACGTAAAACTATTTCTCGGTGCTGCAGGCGCCGGCAACTCGCAAAGACATTCAAGAAAGTTCCTTGAAATTGCCACAAAGGCTGAACAAAACTTAATGCTCGGTTGCCTCCGTCCGTCTGCTTGCCTGGCTGAACCGATTCTGGTCCTTTGTCAGATGGCAACTTACAAATTTAGATTACACATGTTTGCGCAAATGCTGGCAAAACGCTTAAGTTTGTTTAATTAAATTGCAAATATTTTATTGTTGCAACATTTGGTCGGATGGCTGCTATAAATAGCATAGCCTTGCTAAATGTGGCATCTGTAAAATGATATAAAATATTGACCCTTAAATGCAATAACACTGAACGCCTCCAACTTTGATTTTCACATTTTATTTATTTCTTCATTAAATAATATTCAAATTAAATCTTAAATTCACAGCACCACGTTTGCTGATTAGAACAAGCATAAAATATCAAGGGAAATATTTTTCAATTACATTTATGCAAACGCATACACACTACTACATACATGAGGATATTTTATTATTATTTACAAACTGCTATTAATTTTGCAAAGCAATATTTCATAAATTCATTTGTAGCCTTTTGTTTACTTCAATTGAAATGCAAATTCATTTTCCAATTGTTTGCCATTAAGCGTTCCACTTGACCGCTTCGAAACAATGCATTACAAAATTGTAGCTTGGGAGGGGGGTGAAGAATGAAAAGTTTTTCTGATGACGACCTTGAAACTGGTGCGGAAAGCCAAAACAAATCCTTTGCACCAACGCATTCCGGACGTAAACGTAAAGTGCTGTCAATGTAGCAATAACATCGGTAACAAAACACGCAGGAAGGGGGAAGACTTCAAGTTCAAAGCGTTAGCTTTTAAGTGCCTGTTGGTGGATGCTGTTGTTGTAGTTGTTGTTTTTGCTGTAAATGTTGTTCTGTTGCTGTTGGAGCTTGTTTACTCAGGTTTCTCAACACGACTGAAGCCACGTTGCTACACCCTAAAGCAAATACTTTTAGTATGCAACAGAAAATGAGGGATGAAAACCAATAGACGCGACCGAACGGGCTGCCAAAGAACTTGGGATTACCTTGAAAAGTACTCACACCCACATCCACACCCACAGCAGCACACCAAAATACACACAAACGCACTACATTTGAGCATGACCAAGAATTGGCAGCCCACGCATTCGCAGCAAGAGCATCCGTTTGGTTTATTTGGTGCCACATTTCAAAGCAAACTCAAATACCAAAGTTAGGTGGAAACGCTCAGCTGAGGACTATCATCCAATTTATATATAAATTTGTCAACTTATGGTAAGAATTGCAGCAGCCTTACAATACGTGGTAAAGTTTCATTTAGAAGATACATTGAAGGTAAGTAAATGGAACTGGGGTATACTCTAAAGTCCAAGAAAGAAAGTTGTTTGCTTTAAACAAAAATGAAATCCATGGTCGTTTCAGATTTATAAGCAATTGCTGTTAGAACGAATGCGAATCGATATAGCCATGTACGCCTGT